TCTGTGTGCAAGGGGTGCATTGCATGTGTATGTGATGGATGTCAATCTCCCCTCCTTGTCACTCTCTTCTCCCCCTCTCCCTCCCTTGTCCTCTCTTCTCCCCCCCTCTCCCTCCCTTGTCACTCTCTTCTCCCCTCCCTCCTTGTCACTCTCTTCTCCCCCCTTGTCCCTCTCTTCTCCCCCCTCCCTTGTCACTCTCTTCTCCCCTGCTTGTCCCTCTCTTCTCCCCCCTCCCTTGTCACTCTCTTCTCCCTCCTCACTCTCTTCTCCCTTCTCATTGCCCATCAATTCCCTCCTGTCCTCTCACCCCGTCAATTTCTTCTCCCCAATTTCTTCTTCTCCCCTGTCAATTGATTCTTCTCCCCTACCCTTCAATTTCTTCTCCCCCCTCCTGCCAATTTCTTCTTCTCCCCTTACCTTTTCTTCTCCCCCCTCCTACCAATTTCTTTTTTTTGTGAATATGATTTTTATTCATTTTGTGTATTTAAATTTGCGGTGAGACGCGCAGGTCTCCATTGCATGTTATTATAAAAGGTAACAAATTAGGCTCGCAGGCCCCATCACAGAAGGACTCGCAGGTCCCCATTTTCTGGTATTTACATTTGTTTGGGACTATAAGTTAAGTAACGTTTTCATGAACTGAGTGAACATAATGCTTTGTAATCGTCCTTGAACCAGATTAATCAGTCTTTGATTAGGTGTCAGTGTTTGTAGGCCACCCCTATGGTCCCTGTCCACGGCGTCTCATCGGGCCCTGTGTCCTTAGCTATGTGTCATCGACCGTGGTGGGCTTGTGTTTACCCCCGTTATTACTATCGGTGTTTCCCGTGTTTAACCAGGGGAATGGTGGTATTGCGGGTAAAGGGTACCCTTACCTTGGGCGTGTGGATACTGCATTAGCCGTGTCAATGCTGGGCCTGTCCAGGGTTCCTTCAGGTGTTCGCATGTTTTGGCTTTGGGGTGTCTTCCCGGGCCGGTCTGGATGTAAGTACCAGCTCGTGTTCGTTGATCGTTCCCAAATATGTTTTCCCTTGTCGCTATGGGTGCGGTGGGGATGATTCAGTCAATGATGATGCTCTGGTATTTCGCAGGGGGGAAGAGGGGGGGAATGTGTCTGGGTGGGAAGAAAGGAAGAAGGGGGGGGGTAGTTCTGTCCAGTTCGTCTGTCGACCATCTAGCGTCGTCTGGGGTGTGTGTTCTGAGTACTATCTGTCTGTGTCGTGGTTCCCGTTAGTGTTAGGCCTGAGTTCTAATTGGAACTCTTCTTTTGCCGTCTCTAGAATCCAGTGCGTCCAGATGCTCATGTAGGTAGTGGGTGTAGTGTTGGCCGTCATGGTCAGTTCCTCTATCGACCTTAGCTCTTCCATTTGGCTAAACCAGGTCAAAAGTGGAGGTGTAACTGTTTGTTTCCAGAATTGGGGGAGCACTCGTTTGGTCTCTAATGGTCATGGATTTTTTGTATTTGGATCAGGGAACTGTTGTGTGGTGTAGGAGCATCGCTGCCGGTTCCAGGGGGGAGGGCGCGTCCGCGAACTTCTCTAGCATTTTGTGTATCCTCTTCCAGTATGGTTGGATCAACGCGCAATCCCACCAGATGTGTTTTGTGGTGCCCACCTCTCTTTCACATCTCCAGCAGAGTCTGGAGTGGTCTAGGTTTACGTGATGAAGGAGATGTGGTGTCCTATACCAATGTGTTAGAAGCTTGTAGGCCGTTTCCTGTGTTTTGCTGTGAGTGGAACAGTGGTGTGTAAGGTAGCAGATGGTTTCCCATTCTGCTTCCGTTAGTGTGTTACCCAGGGCTGTTTCCCATTTTCCCATGAATAGTGGTGTCTCGGACGGGGTTTCTGATTGGAGCATGGAATATAAGAAGGACACTCCATGCGGGAGCGGGTCTGGGTGTGAGCTGACCACTTCTATCGTGGTCTGGTCTCTGGCCAGTGCTGGTCCCTGCGGTAGGGAGTGGATGTAATTGGTCAGTTGGGCATGTCGGAAGCGGTGCATAAAGGTCGGGGGCGTCTCTCCCATCAAGTCCGTTAGTATTTTACATTTCCCACCTTGGAGGAAGTGGTGTAGGCGTGGGGTTCTGTCTGGGAAGATGTGTTTGAGGGTTCCAGGGTCCAGACCCGGCGGGAAGTCCTCGTTGTGTGTCAGGGGCAAGAGGGGGGAGGGGTACGGTGCCATATTCCCTTTCTTTGCGGCCTTCCTCCAAACTCTCATAATGTGTCTCGTGTATATGGACATGTCACCTCTATCGGTTGTGTCTCGGCCCCAGGGAAGCCCCGAGATCGGTCTGCCTGCTTCTGCCTCTTCCACTGTCTTCCATAGTTTGTGAACTCCGTCTTTAGACCACTCCATGATTCTCTGCAGGTGTGTGGCCACGTAGTACTGGTGGAAGTCTGGGAGGGCTAGTCCCCCTTTGTCTTTAGGGCGTGTCAGTGTGGAAAATTTCACTCTGGGCCTCCCCCCGTTCCATACGTATTTTATCATTTCTTTTCTGAGTGTGTTAAAGAAGGGGCCTGGTATGACAGTGGGGATGGCCTGGAAGAGGTATAAGAGGCGCGGAAGGAAGTTCATTTTAATGACCTGCACTCTCCCGAGCCACGATATGTGCGGGTAGGACCATTCCCTCAAGTCTCGTTGGAACGTGTGTAGTATAGAGGCGAAGTTGTCCCTATACAGGTCTCTGCTCTGCTTGGACAGCCATACCCCTAAGTATCTAATTTTTTGTTCGGCCCATTGAAAGGGGAAGCTGCGTCGTAGCGGGTCCGCGCGTGTGGCGGGGACGCTAACATTAAGGATGTAGGATTTGCCGTAGTTAATTTTAAGGTTAGATATAGCGCCAAATGTCCGCAGGTCTTTCTGGATGTTTGGGAGGGTGATCTCGGGGTTGGTCACCACGAAAAGTAAGTCATCCGCGTACGCCGCTACCTTGTGGTGTATTTGGCCTGTCGTCCGGCCCGTTATGTCTGGATTGTGGCGGATGTGTGTGAGGAATGGTTCCAGGGCGAGAGCGAACAGTAGCGGCGAGAGGGGACATCCCTGTCGCGTGCCGTTGTGTATGGTAAAGGTCTCAGTCAGTGCCCCGTTAACTAATACCTGGGCCGTCGGTGCTCGGTATAGCGCCTCTATCCAACGTCGAATGTTGGGACCCAGCCCCATGTGGGATAGTGTCTCGAAGAGGTAGTCCCAGCTCACTCTATCGAAGGCCTTCTCTGCGTCCGTGGACAACAAGAGGAGGCCTCCGTCCGTGCCCCCGCCTCCGTGCATAAGTGTGAGCGCTCTGATGGTGTTGTCGCGTGCCTCCGTCCTGTCACAAATCCCACCTGGTCGGGGTGGACCAGAGACGGGATATGTTTGGTGAGTCGCACCGCCAGGATCTTGGCTAGTAGCTTAATGTCGCAGTTGATTAGCGATATTGGTCTGTAATTCCCGCAATGCTCTCTGTCTTTGCCGTCCTTGGGTATGATGGTAATATGGGCTGTCAGGGCTTGGGTAGGGATGTGGTCTCCTTCTTGTATCGCGTTAAATGCTTCCACCATGGGTGGGTAGAGATCCTCGGCGTAAGTCTTATAGTATTTTACCGGTAAGCCGTCCGGCCCCGGGCTTTTGCCCGGTTTAGTGAGTTTGACTGCTCGCGCTAATTCCTCAATGGTTATGGGTTCGTCAACCAGGTCAGCGACTTCTACGTCTAGGGTCGGTATCGGGTATTTAGTCAGGTATTCCTGAATCGAGCGGTGAAGGTGTGCCTTAGCCAGTTCAGTTGTCGGTTGTGGGAGTTCGTATAGCTCGGTGTAGTATGTACGGATCGCTCTCATGATATCAGTCGGTGTAGGGACCCCTGTTTGTCTCTGATCTTGTCGATGTATGTGTGCTGTCTCTGTTTCCTCAGCATCGTAGCGAGGAGCTTACCGCTCTTGTTCCCATGTAGGGTAAAGAATGCCTTATTTCTAAGTGCCTCCCTGTGGTGTTTGGAATGCAGTATGGTCGCTAGGTCCCTTCGCAGTTGTAGGAGTCGGGTCTGGTGTGTGGTCTGGGTCGCGTTTGTTTTGTTCGTCCGTTTTGTATATGTCATCTAATAGGGCGGTCAGTCGGGCTTCGGTTTGTTTTTTTAGTATTGCCCCCTGTTGGATATAGTGACCTCTTATCACACTTTTGTGTGCCTCCCAGCGTATCGTCGGCGATGTCTGCTCCGTCGTGTTGGTGGCAAGGTATTCTCTGATTTTATCGCCTATAAGGGTCGTGACTCCCGGGTGGGAGAGTAGGTATTCATTGAGTCTCCATTTCGGAGATGTGGGGCGAAATAGTGGTGACTTTATTTTGAGGGAGACAGGGGCATGGTCCGACCATGTGGCTGTTCCGATCTCGACGTCAGTTACCAATGAAAGGTCGTAGTGTGAGGTGTATATGTGGTCGATGCGGGAGTATGAGTTGTGCGGGTGGGAATAGAAAGTGAAGTCTCGGGCGTCTGGGTGGTGGGCCCTCCAGCAGTCGACCAGTCGGTGGTCCCGGAGTAGGGATTTGATGCCTTGCAGTTGTTGGTTGGGGATATGCGAGGTGCCCGTTGAGGTGTCCCATGACGGTTCTAATGCGACATTAAAGTCCCCCCCCAGTATGAGAGTCCCTTCTTTGAACGCCTGGAGCTTGTGGAGTGTTTGTTTGAGGAAGCGGTAGTGTCGTGTGTTTGGGGCGTATATAGTCGCGAACGTGTACTGACGGCCTGCTATTTCCCCCTTGAGGAATAGGTACCTGCCTTCATCGTCCGACAAGCAGCCCCCCTCCTGGAACGGCACCCTCTTATGGAAAAGTATTGCTGCTCCCCTAGCTTTCCCCTCGTGGTAGTCACTATAGAATCCTTGTGTGTAGTGTTGATTTGTTAGTTTGGGTCTGGCCCCTTTCTGAAAGTGTGTTTCCTGTAACATGACTATCGAGGCCCTTTGTTTATGAAAGTCTCTCAGTGCTCCTGATCTCTTCTCTGGTTTGTTCAGGCCTTTGGCATTGATCGTGAGAATATGCAGCGGGGCGGGAGTCAGTGTCATGTCGTTTGGTCAGTCGGCTGTTGGGTGGTGCTGTATCGGTGTCGTTGTCCAAGTCCCTACTGTGTGTGTGTACCAGGTGTGGCCCGTTCGTCGCGGTCAGAGTGAGGACAAGGTGTCAGGGTTCGAGGTGGGGTAGAGAGAGGGATAAGGTATCTTGGGATTCGTGGAGATGTCCTGTGATCTCCAGTGGGTGTGTTCCGGTCTCGGGACCGTCAGGTGCAGACGTCGGGGAGTTTCAATCCACGGTGCCACCAGTGGCTCCCGTGAGTGACTCACCGTCTGAGTGACGTCTCTCCTACTGGGCAGTGGTAGGGTGTATCGGTGTCGGTCTTCCGTACGGCCAGTCGGGTCCCATGTCGCCCCTTTTTGGCTCCCGGATGCTACCTCAATGGGATGTGATGGTCTTCCCCGCCTCGGGGTGTGTTGGCTCGAGAGCCGGCGTGTGTGTTGCACAGCATGTCTGTTCAAGGTACCGTAGTAAGGCATAAACCGTAACAATAACATATAGATTAAATTCACAACAGGTGATAACAAGCAGTTGACATTTCTACCATGGTGCAGGGCTGCGCTTCCACCCCCTCCCCCCTCGCTCCCCTCTCCCTCCGTTGGGTTGCTTATCTAGCGTGAGCAAACTCGTCCCTTGTTCCTTTACTCTCTGGGTTTGGGGGCACCCTCATCCGGGGTCAGGGCGAGGGCACTCGTGTCTCTGGATTCGTTTTAATCAATCTGGGTGTGCTCGCTCGGGTGGTCGTTACGTGTCCGTGCCCTCCTTGTCACATGTTTAGAGCGTGTAGCTGATCTATGGGCTAGACTGGATTGTGTGGCCTGGTTGCGACCTTACCCTCCATCCCCACCGTGTCTTATCAGCATCCCCGCCCCGGGTGTGCCCCGCCGGCGCCGTCCCCCGCCTGCTCCCCGAGGTTCGTCACAGGGTAGGCGAACGGCGGCGGCCGGGCCCAGCCGGGGGGGTGGCGCCCCCGGTGCTTCCCTGCCGGTGTGGCTGGACGTGTCTCTTGTGGGAGGTGTCCCTGCTGTTGTGTGGCCCAGTGGCAGCCGCTCCCGCTCCCCTCCCCTGCAACCCTTGTGTCCCCACCCCGGGTGTGCCCAGCCGGCACCATCCCCCGCCTGCTCCCCGAGGTTCGTCGCAGGGCGGGCGGACGGCGGCGGCCGGACCCAGCCGGGGGGGTGGACACTCTATATTCTCCTAACACTATATATGTGGACCAGATGTCCCTCGTTACCCTTGCACCTTGCGTTATCATAAAAAGGTTAAATTAGTCCATTAGGCCACAGGGCTCCGCGTGGCCGGGCTCCTGTGTCCCAGGTACGCCCCCTGGTGCTTCTCTGCTTATGTGGCTGGGTGTGTCTCCCTTGGGAGGTATACTTGCGGTTCAGATGAGTTAGCGCATTGTGTCCACAGTCTCTGGATCTGGAAATCGGTTATGGAGGTGTGTGTCTGGTCCACGGGTGGGTCGAGGTGAGGCCCAGGATGGAAGGTAGGTGGTGCGCAGTCCTTTATATGTTGGCGCCCGTGGGGCGCGTGGTCTGCTGTCTAGTTCTTCGTGGCCTGGTGGGCTGTTGCGACTGGCGGTGTGCTTCGGGTGAAAACTCGTAGAAGGACATCGGGTCCGGCCAGGTCAGCTGTATGTGCGGTAGTTGTAGTTCCCGGGCAATGTCCCTCATATCGCCGTCGTTCTTCACTGCGAAGGAGCCGGTGCTTGTGGTGACCTGTATGCCAGTGGGGAAGTTCCACCGATATCTGATCTTGTTGGCTTGTAGTGTGCGTGTAAAAGGGCGCAATGCCCGTCGGTACGCCAGGGTCGCTGGAGATAGGTCCGGGTATAGTTGTAGTTCCGCGCCATGATGAAGGATTTGTTGTTTCTCCCTGGTGCTCTTTAGGATGTCTTCCTTCACTTGAAAGTGTAGTAAACAGCATATCACGTCCCTTGGGGGGGACTCCGGAGGGCCTCTGGGTCTGAGGGCTCTATGTGCCCTAACGAAATCAATAGGCGTCGTGTTCGGCCGCTGTAGGAGGGAGTTGAAGATTTCCGTGAGGGAATCTCGTATTGGGGTTGTCTGGTCAAGTTCCTCAGGTAGGCCCCGAATTCTAATATTCTGCCGCCTCCCCCTATTATCGAGGTCTTCCACGTGGAGGGCCATTTGGCGCAGTTGTAGCGTCTGCCGCTGTATTACGTTTGCGGTGGCGTTTTGTGCAGATGTCACATGGTCACAGTCTGCCTCCAACAATGCTAACTTATGGTGTAGCCCCTGCATGTCCTCCCTCAAGGCATGGAGTTCCCCTGTTATGGACTTGTGGAGGGCAGCATTTGCCTCTTTAAGGTCATCTTTCGTGGGTAGGTTGCTCAATAGGAATGCCCAGTCCAGCTGGGATGGGGGTAGGTCAGGTGTAAGTAGTACCTGTTCGTGATGTCTGCTGCCTGGTGAGGGCGGGCGGGCCAGGCCCGAGGCCTCAGAGTCACTGGAGGCCTGAGAGACGTGATCCGCTTGGGTCAGGAGGTATTGTCTCATGCCCGGCGTCTGGGACCCCCTGGGAGTGTTGGTGGCTGCTGCCGCTTGCTGTTGCCGGTTTGTTTTGCCCATTTTGCTGTGTGTGGGGCTAGTGAGGCGGGTGATAGTGCAGAGCCTGCAGGGAGCTTCGGGTTCACGCCGCCATTCCGATCGGCGTCCAAGCCACGCCCCCCCCCACCAATTTCTTATTCTCCCCCCTCCCCATTTCTTCTCCCTCCTCCCCTACCAATTTCTTCTCCTCCCCTCCTGCCAATTTCTTCTTCTCCCCTCCTGCCAATTTCTTCTTCTCCCCTCCTCATTTTTCTCCCCCCTCCCTACCAATTTCTTCTTCTCCCACCCTCCCCATTTCTTCTCCCCTCCTGCCAATTTCTTCTCCCCTCCTGTCAATTTATTCTTCTCCCTCCCCTCCCAATTTCTTCCCTCCCCCCTCCCAATTTCTTCTCCCACCATCCCATTTCTTCTCCCCTCCTGCAATTTCTTCTTCTCCCTCCCCTCCCCTCCCAATTTCTTCTCCCCCTCCACCCCTCCCAATTTCTTCTCCCACCCTCCCAATTTCTTCTCCCCCCTCCTCCCAATTTCTTCTTCCCCCCCCTCCCCTCCCAATTTCTTCTTCTCCCCCTCCTGCCAATTTCTTCTTCTCCCCTTACCTCTTCTTCTCCTCCCTCCCCCCAATTTCTTATTCTCCCCCCCTCCCATTTCTTCTCCCTCCTCCTCCACCAATTTCTTCTCCTCCCCCCTCCCTGCCAATTTCTTCTTCCCCCCCTCCTCTCCCCTTTCTTCTCCCCTCCTTCCCATTTCTTCTCCCCCCTCCTACCAATTTGGGAGGGGAGGATGGGAGAAAGAAGTGGGAGGGTGGAAAGGAGAAGAGGTGGGAAGGAGGAAAATCTCCCACCCTCCCCATTTCTTCTCCCCTCCCCTGCCAGTTTCTTCTTTCTCCTCCTCCCAGATTTCTTCTCCCTCCTCCCAATTTCTTCTCCCCCCCTCCCTCCCAATTTCTTCTCCCACCTCCCTTCTTCTCCCCTCCTGTATTTCTTCTTCCTCCCCTCCCAATTTCTTCTCCCCCCCCTCCTTCAATTTCTTCTCCCACCCTCCCAATTTCTTCTCCCCCCCCCCTCCCAATTTCTTCTTCCCCCCCTTCCCTCCCACTTTCTGTTAGTCCGGCCGGGTACAGGAGACAGATGCTCCCTGTACCCGCGGACCAATACAGGGCTCGGCCATGCTACAGAGAGGGAGTGACAGGAGGGAGCACTGAGCGCTGAGCACTTCCCTCCTGCCAGCCCCTCTCCTCATGCTGCGCCAGGGCGGTGCGCCCTCATGGAGGCCCCGTCCGGGCAAAGCTGCAGCCGCCTGAGGCTCTCTGCAGAGCGCTCGGGCGGCTGCAGGATGAGGGGGGGCCGGCGCTCCTGGTGGCGCCCCTTCCCGCCTAACAGGTAGCGCCGGCCCTGACAACAACTGACGCTGGGGGGAACACAGCAGCTCACATTGTAGGGAACACAGAGACTGACACTGGGGGGAACACAGCAGCTCACATTGGGGAGAACACAGCAGCTGACACTGGAGGGAACACAACAGCTCACGCTGGGGGCTTCCACAGTGATGTGGAGGGGAACAGAGATACCGAGATGAGCATGGAGCTGAACTCTCTTTTGTGGCCCACAAGAGATGTAGGATAAACAGGCCTGGTTACACCCTTACATCTGACAAGACCATCATCCCGGCTTCATAGACGAGTCTATAAATATGAACAAGTTTAATACCCAGTGGTACATTTGTTACATATAATGTCAGATAATTGAAGACTAATAATCCTAATTTAATAATGACAGGAGACGAGTATTTTGCATTAACTTCCTTTACTACTCCATAGCAGCAAAGAACATAGAAAAAACAAATGACCAATAAGAGACAAGCAGAGTGTATAACAAGCTCCTCCCCCTGAGGCACTTCCTCTTGAAGACAGCGACATCACAAGCCACAAAGTAACAGTCAATCATAGATCAGAACCAGGAAACGTCCAACAAATTTCGAACAGATAAGAATTGTCCATATAAGATCCATGCGACAGCCGGAATGTAGAGAAATCTTTACACGTCGTGTAGAGTTAAGCTAAAACGAGACCGACAGTGTTTTAGTGGTTTATCAATACTCGTGAATACCATGAGCAACCATAGTCTGGCTAACTAGCGATATTACTTATAGAATGTAATAAATAGTCAACCATAGTCTAACTGACTAACACCATCATTATCGAACATTAACATAATGACAATAGCACAAATACAAAGTATGCATACCATACACATGAAAACATTTAAAGGACCACTCTAGGCACCCAGACCACTTCAGCTTAATGAAGTGGTCTGGGTGCCAGGTCCAGCTAGGGTTAACCCATTTTTTCATAAACATAGCAGTTTCAGAGAAACTGCTATGTTTATAAATGGGTTAAGCCTTCCCCTATTTCCTCTAGTGGCTGTCTCATTGACAGCCGCTAGAGGCGCTTGCGTGCTTCTCACTGTGAAAATCATAGTGAGAGCACGCAAGCGTCCATAGGAAAGCATTGATAATTGTAGCGGAGTAGGGGTTAATCCAAAATATCGCTATATCATCTAAGTAGACGTAGGCATACTCCTGGGATCCATCCAGTAACCGATCTACCATCCTCTGAAAGGTAGCCAGAGCATTCTTCATCCCGAAGGGCATCACCTTAAATTGGTATAGCCCAAACGGGGTGACGAAT